TCAACATGGCAGCCTCGGTGGAAGAGGACCCGCTTTCCCTGTAGGTAAAAATGGCTTATTGTAAGCTAACGAAAACACAACAATTCTTATTTTCAAGTGATTATACACAAATGAAAACAAACATGCAAATAGATAGTATTTTAGGAGTGCAGGCAATGATGCAGCAGCAACGGTAAGGAAAAGGAAGTGAGGGGGGAAATGCTTGCAATAAAGCGTGTTATCTTCAAATTAAAAAAACACTAGTTGAAACCATAGTCATTGACAGAGTGGGCAACCATGGTCTCACTCTCTGGCTGCATCTGATATCTGTACATGAAAAGCCTTGAAATGTAAGCCACTTATGGGCTCTTAAAGAAGGAAGGAGGTGGCAGTAACACGGGAATTCCCTAACTCGCGTCTCACTTTGATGATGTCACCAGAGTAAGCTGTTACTCTGAAACGTTGAAAGAGCGCCTTTGTTTTCTTCTCAATCTCTCTCCCTCTGTCTTTCTCTCGCTTCTTCTTCTCTCACTCTTTCTTTGCCCTTTGTGTGAAGGTTTTCTTTGAGTGAGATCAGTTTTGGCTTAGACATGGACATCCCTCTCAACTCTCCCGAAAAAAACCCACCACCACCCCATACTCTATGTTGTAACTAATTACAGCCGCCTCCTTTTCTCTGCCCACCGTGTAATTCAATTTTTCCCTGAAATGGGAGGGATCGACTCAGGCGGGCCTCAGAGGCACAGATAATGCCTGATTGCATCCGTCCAACCTATCATGTATTGTTTCTAAGATGTGCAGATAGAGTTGACAAAGAAGATTTGGATCAGTGACTCGTGGATAGATGGATAAAAGATGGATGAAAGAACGGTTTACTGTGCACAGGGAAAAGATGAACAGGATACCAGACACTGATTTGCAAAAAGACACAGTACTGACGTAGTTGGGGTCTGGCGGTTGTCTGTTTATTTGTGTGGGTGCATTTGTGCACTTGCATGCAAAATTTTGCATCGAAGGCACAGAGTGTATCTGTGTCTGCTTTTTTTTTTTTTTTACCTTTTACTAGTCGACGACAGTTAATTGGGCAGGTGGCTGAGGGCTTGGGGTCCTGTTTGAATGCACATATTATAAATGTGGAGGGCCACACACACACAAACTCTTGCTCTTTCTCTCTCTGTCTCTCTTTCTGGAGGAGGTCACTGGGTTTAATGAGAGGTGGAGTGTGGCAGTGTGTTTTGAAGGCGAATCGAGTCGGTCTTTAGACAAGAGACTCGGTGTGATTACTGAGACCTCAGAGCTCCGGGTTTGCGCGTGCTTGTGTACTTGTGTGTTTGCACTTTGGCGTACTTATGTGCAAGTGTGTGTGACAGAAAGCGAGATTACAGAGACCTCAGGGCACAACCAGGAACCAGCTTTTATATAAAGTAACCTCTGTTTAGTTGCTGCACTGCGGTGCGTGCATGCAAACATGCATGCACATACACACACAGACACAGATGCTCTGCCAAGGCAGAACCAGCCTGGAGACGTCGACACAGCAGCCAAAAGACATTCTTTCATATGAACCTTCAGTCTTCGTCTTCTCTGCTCACTTCTCTTCTTCACTTCTTTTCCTCTAGACTCCATCCTTGTTCCTTCTTTTACACTTCTCCTCATCTGTCTCCCTCTACCTTAAAGTAAACCTGGAACAGCATAGTGGTGATTGTATTTGTTGGACTGACGTTAAGTACTGCTCATTAGCCACACCACCGCTAAATGCTACTGGCTGGATTACGCTCTTTTATTTAGACTGAAAGTTTACATATAATTTTATTATACCCAACAAATTCCATAACCTCAGGGCATATAAAATCCTTTTTAGAGCTGCACGGTGCACATTGAAATAATTCATGTTTGCTCTGAAATATAGAAAAGTGCTTTTGGTTGTTTTCAGTATCTCTGTCAGTTATGTCAGTGATATGCTTTACCTGCTGTCTCTCTCTTATTCAGTGCTTTTTTCCTGAGTCTCGCTGTGTTATTTTGCTTCTACTACTTTATGGGTGTTTCTTTGTGCTACGTTTTTTAGCAGCAAATACCTGTATCTGATCTAAAAATCCTTTCCTGTACCAGTCTGTTAATTAGCATGCACTGTGTGTGTGAGTGTCTATGCTTCCATCCCCTGTTTAAACAGACTGACCTCTCTGTGCTCCGGGGGTCAGCTTCCACTGACCCTCCCACCCACCCCCGCCTCTACTCCCACCCCGCTCCCAGTGTATCTCTCACCGTCTCACCATGTTGCTCTCATGTATCTACTCTTCTCCCTCCTTTCCCTTCCCTTTCTCTCTCCCCCCCCCACGAAGACCATTCCCCTGAGCTTTCCCACACTCACATCAAAGGACAAGTCTCTAGAGGGTGTGTTAGAGCACCCTGCTATGGAATGTGAGTGTGTTAATAATTGTGTGTGTGTGTGTGTGTGTGTGTGTGTGTGTGCATCTGTGTCTATGTGTGTTTTACAAGGCTGTGTTGGTTTACTGTGTTGTTTGCTCTTTGTTGGTCTTTTATGAGGGTTGATGGGGCCAGAGGGTGAAGAGCAGGAAGCTGTGCCCTGCCAGGGAGGATGTGACATCATTAAGCATGGGTGGCAGCAACCACAAGTCTCCTGTGGAGTACTTGTACTTTGTGGCCTTGGTTGAGATTAAGGAATGTCAGCAGCTGATTGGTTTGGCTCTTACAATATAATGCAGCCTTACAGGATGTCCTCATTAACGTCTCTCTTAAGATAATTAAGATAATGTCGGTATCCCAGTTTATCTAGGCAGGAGCAAGGCCATGGGTACATTTTTAGAAATTGACAAAGAAAAGGGAGGCCTAGCACTTCCAAACCTCTACTATTATGCTTCCCAAATGAGATACATGGTCTATTGGTGCTCCCTGGAGAATCAAGTTGCATGGATAAGCTAGGAGGAGCAAAAGAATATATAGACCTAAAGGGAGAAAACGGTCGAACAGAGGTTGGCGTCCCATGTGTAAAATGCAACAACTTCCCACAAGCTTTAAAGATGGAGGGAATTTGGTTGCAAGGACTTAATCCTTTATTCTTATACCCAACATAAAGAATGAACAACTGGGCAATCAGGAGCAATGCTGGAGGCAGTGCAGGCAAATTAATGCCAACCACTCCCATGTCTTCTGGACAAACATTTTTGGACAGTGTTCTGCAGAACCATGAGGAGATTTTAGGTTACAAGATTCCCAGGGACCCCTGGATTGTGTACCTTGGACTGATACCTAATGACAAAATCCAGAAGGATATCTACCTCTTCAAAATACTGATCCTCACTTGTAAAAAGGCCATCACCAGGTGCTGGTTGAAATGTGACCTTCCAAGTCTAGGACAGTGGTTGGACATTGTGGAGGAAATATAATCCATGGAAAAACTGACTCACTATCTAAGGACTAAAGCGTTTTCCTACAATCAATGCTGGGAAAAATGGACTGCATTCAAGAGAAAATAGATCTTGTGCTCAGCTGGTCTGAGTAGAATGGTCCAGGTTGTAAAGAAAGTGTAATATTCAGTTCAGTTCAGTTAAACTGAATTGTTTACAGTAACAGTAACTTTCTGTTTTTAATAAACAGTTAATGCAGAATGGATCCATGATAAGGCCCAGTCCTGCATTACTGCAGTGGCATAATAGGAAATATAGTCCTTTGCTCTGCTGCAGTTTGGTCAGCCTATGTTGTTCTGTTACAAACAATAGTTATGGTGGACAGTGTGACCTCAGTGACGTGGTCTCTGCACCAGCTGTGTGCACATGTTTCATTGCATGTGTGTCATCTGGACATAGCAGAGCATGAATCATGTCAGGGTCTGCTTTGTATTTTAGCAGCAGATGTGTGTTGTTTGTTTGCTCTCCTTCTTTGTGTTACCCTCATTGTTACTCGCTCTCTCACTGTGGGTGCGTCCTAATTCTCTTATTTCATATTTCCACACTCCTGAAATCGATCAGGCCTGCTGTCATTAAGGACATTCCATTTACCTTATTACTGCTCAGACTGGATTAGATAAAGGGTACACAAGAGCACCGTAGGTGGAAGTCTTTTATCATTACTCCCCATTGAAAATGTGTTAGTAACTGGATGCTGCATTGAAACCACATCACCAGAATCACAAGCCAATCTCTAAACGCTTCACTCAATAAAGACTGAGGACTTTCTCCTAGCTTTCATAACTAAATCTGGGTGGAAACAATTAAAGAGTTTTAAAAAGCCTGCATCGCAGAACCAATCCAAAGTATTTAGACTGGTGACATGGCGATAGCATGCGCACTGTTGTACCATATAATGTTGCATGGCAGATCCATTTTCAATGTTTTAAAAAGCTCTCTCCATGTTACA